ATCTATCTATCTATCAATATCTATCTATCTATCTATCTATCTATCTATCTATCTATCTATCTAATCTATATAGCTTAAAAAAGTATTATAGTTTAGTTAGCAACATTTAGAACAGCCAATGTACTTAGGTCAAGTATTGCATTCTTGTGCAAGCGTCATTGCACTTTACCTTTGTTGTGAGTTGGAACCCACTCTCAGCTGACCTTCCAGAGAATTATGGGAGGTAGTAAATTGCATAGGAAAAGACTACTTCTCTCTCTCTCCAGTGGAGGAGTTGGTGGATTTGATCCACAAGCCTTTGGCGTGGCAAAAATACGACATGCTTTGGGTTGGCAGTGCAGCTCTATACCACTAAGCCACTATAGCTTCCTGCTTCTCACCCTTAGCCTGGTAGTATTACCATTCCCATCGTACAAATGAAGAAGTTAAAGCTTAGAGAGGTTCAATGTGTGTCCAAGGCCACTGAGCCAAGAAAAGACTGAACTGAATTAAGTTCAGAGCAGATGAGTGATTGCCAAGCTGGTCCACTGCCCAAGGTAGGAGCTCACCTGAGAGTTCCTGAGTAGTTTTCTTAGATATGATTGTCAGAGGGCACACATTCCCTCTGCAACACAGTCAGAGGATAGAATTTTTTTTTTAACCCCATTCTCCCCAGGACCCAGGATGCTTGCCCGGTGCTTTGTGAGGGGCTGTGAAGTGGGAGACCAGTGTCAGGTGTACTCACCATACACCTTGAGCTGCAGGGTCTGGGTCTGAGCCTGCCCTCCAATGTCTACCAGCAGAACAGAGAAGTTGCCACTGTCTCCAGACTCCAGTGGGCGCAGCTCCAGGCTGAGGTTGCTGTGTAGATGGGCTCGGCCCAGGAAGCGAGAGTGGTACAGAGTCTGCAAGGAATTCTGGAAAAATGTGGCCAGGAGTTCCTCTGAAGGCCAGAGAGATCGCCAGATGGCATCACGGACTTGGAATCCAGGGGTGCGGTTGGCTACCAGCAGCACGGAGCCCCCTACTTGTCCCTGGATCTGGGTGCCAGTGACTGCAATGGGAAGTAGAGCTGAAAGAACAGAGCAGAGTCACTCTCACCTGCCTCTCACACCTCAGCCCTCCCCACCCCACAGCTGAATGACCAAGGAGCCGATCAGGGGACATCAGCCACACTCCTTCCATTCAAGTTGATCCTCAGGTGCAGGAAAGAAGAGAATCTGGTCCCTTTGTCATAGAACTTACAGAGTAAACCAGACACATCAGCACACAATAAACTATTTGACATAGTAGCATGGGAAATAAAACCCTGGTGATGCAGCCTGTAGTATAATGCCCTGCTAACTAAAACTCACTCAGCTCTGGTGGTTGGAATCTACCCGCTGCTCCATGGAAGTAAGGTGGACAGTCTTCTCCTGTTTAGATTTTCATCCTCAGAAACCAGATGGAGACTTGCTAAGAGAGGAAACCGACTCAGTGGTAGAGGCTTTTGTGGGCTGATGGTTTTTGGTTTTTCGTTTTTTCTTATGATAGGGAATTGGAGTCTCTGAATAGTGGCAAAGGTTAAACATTTAGGCCATCAGAGCTCCTAACAACAACAACAACAGCCAAAAGGATAGTGGTTCAAATCCACCCAGAGACTTCTCAGGACACAGACCTGACAGTCTTCTTTGGAACAGTCACAGCCTTGGAAACTCTGAAGCAGTTCCATTCCACACATGGGGTCATCATGAGTCGGAATCAAGTAAATAACAATTAACAACGATGTGATGAGAAAGAACGGGGTGGCGTAAGAGAACACAGGTGGTGTGATAGAGTGAACTTAACTAGCCTAGAGTGGTTTCGAGAAGAAAGGTAAGTTGAGGTCTGCAGGAGGGAATTAACCAGGACAAGCAGAGAGCTGCCTGAAAGGACTTGGGGAAGTGCTAAATCAGAGGGAACAGCATGTCAAAAGGCATGGAAGGAGAGACCCTGGTGCACTGAGGAACTGAAAGCTTTGCTCTGCAGGGGAAGAGGAAATTACACTGCAGAGTTGGGAGAGCCACAGCATGCAGGGCCCTGAAAGGGACATTGTAGTTGGGATTTTATCTTTACGGCAGCGTGTGGTCTTGGAGAGGTTTTAATCAGGAAAGTAACATGGTCTGAACATAATTGCCTGGTTTGAAAGCCCATTCTAACAGAGGCCTGGAGAATGCACAGAGGAAGAGCATGATGGAGCATGAAAAGCGTTAATGCCAGGAGAGGGTGGGGGAAGCTCTGTAAAATTGTGGAATCGATGTGCATAGTCTCTGCTGTGCATATTCTCAACAAAAGTAAAATAAGTTATTTTTTTGGGGGGGAAAAAAGAGAGAGACACCTGTATGGAGGAAAGTGACATCAAGAATGAAGAGAAAGGGCAGAAAAAGAAAGCTGTTAGGACAATGGAATCATAGGACTGATTAACAATTAGATGTGGGTGCAGGAGAGAAGAGTCCAGGATGGCTCCTGGGTCGTTGGGATTCACTGGGCTCTGTTTTCTGTGCTCAGGGATCCTGGCGGAGAAACGGCCTGGGTGAGGAGGAGATAGCAGATGTTGAGTTTAGGTTGTAACATTGTGGGCTCGGGTTGTGTGGGATATACCTCTGTTTTAAGTGCTCTCCTGAGCCTTCTCTATTTTGTGCTCATCCTCCAAGCTTCATTACCTTCCCTAACCCTCACCAGCCCTCACTCCAGGTTATAAACTCTGCCTCTGTGTTCCCGTATTGGTCTGTGCTCACCACTATTACTCGCCTTTAAATCCATTACTGTTAAAGAAATTCTGACTCATAGTGACCTTATGTGTCAGGGTAAAATTGCTCTGTAGAGTTTTCAACACTCATCTTTCCAGAAGCAGATTACTAGGGTGTTTTTCTCCCGTCGATCAGCTGTTGGATTAGATTAATCAACCTTTGGATCAGCTGCTGAGCACTTTGTCTTCGTACCACTGTTGTGTGTGTCATTGTGTCGGAACCAACCCATATCTGACCCTCCTGTGGGTTTTCAGAGGCAGTAAATCGCACGGGAGGAGATTGCCCATCAGGGCAGCTGGTGGATTTGAACTGCATACATTTGGGATTGCAGTGCACCTTCTTACCACTAGACCACTAGAGCTCCCTAGAAGAGCCACTAGAACTTTTTGGTGTTTCTTCTACCTTTCTTTCTATTAATGATTGTCTACTGACAAGTGACTGTCAAGGACAATGATACTTTCTTGTTTATCTTTGTACTTCTAATACCTACTACCATTAGGACTACAAAATGAGAGCTCAGTAAATTTTCCTGAATAATAGAATTTCCTGACAACTGACCTTGTGTCTGAGCTGGTGGAGGAACTGGGTACAGAGCAGAGTAAGGCCTCATGTGTAGCATACTGCAGGGCTGGCAGTGTGGTTAAAATGTGTTTTGATGAATGCTCAGACAGCAACAGATAACCACAGTTCCTCATCAATTTCACTTCCCTTTTAGGCCCCAACTATCTCCAGTCCTGGGTGGTGATGACTTCCATGTTAATGTAAGATGGAGACTTACCATATAAAGGGAACCCCACTGGATTTAAACAAATATCCTGGGCTTGGCATAGCCCTGATTCCACAAAAGATTAGCTGTGGAGCCCTTCAGTAAATATCTCCCCTGGGGTTTCAGAGTTTTGACTTGTGAAACAAGGGAGCCCTGGTGGTGTAGTCTGTAGCAAGCTGTACTATTAATACTAAACTGTGAAACAAGGAGACTGGACCAGATTAGCTATCCTGATCTTCCATTGTTGTTGGTAGTTGCTGTCGAGTTGTTTATGACTTATAGCGACCTTCTGAACAGCCACGCTGAATGCTATCCTATCCTGTGCCATCCTCTTAATTTCTGACACACTAGAGTCTATTGCTGAAGTCACTATGTCAATCCTTCTCATTGCGGATCTTCCTCTACTTCACTGACCCTCCATCTTTTCAAGCATGATGTTCCTTTCCAACAAATAGCCTCACCTAGCTACGTGTCCAAAATCTGAAAGGTGAAGCTTTGCCAGCTTTGATTCCAAGGAGCACTCTGGCTGCACTTTCCCTAAGACACATCTGTTTGTTCTTTTGGCTGTCGTGGGCTATTCAGGACTCCTCCCCAGCACCACAACTCAAAGACATCAATTCTTCTGTCATCCTTATTTATTACCAGTTCTCTGATCACAGATGATTGAGAAGACCAATCAATTCTGCCATGAAGAGACTGTTTAAAAAAAATATTTTCCCTTCACAGGTCCAACTTGAAAGATTTTCTGAACCATTTATATGAAAAACTTTGAGAGACAAGTGCATTTTCCCTGACAAAATCCGTTGTTAGTTATTCTTGAGTTGGCTTTGGGCTTCATAGAACAGAATAAGACATTGCCTGGTCCTATACCCTCTTCAGTTGGAGCCAACACTAGAAACCAAAACCCTGTTGCCACTGAGTAAATTCCATCTCATAGCCACCCATTAGGAGAGCACAGAATTGGCACATAGGGTTTCCAAGCAGAAGTAGACTACCGCAAATATTTCCCACAAATCCGTCCACCATGGGTGATCCTGCTAGTTATTTGAAATACTAATAGCATAGCTTTTGATATTATAGCAGCATGCACTGCAAACCATCCCATTATGACTACCTGGCAGAGAAGTGGTGGTCACTAGATTTAGAAATATTGAAAACATCTGCTGGACCTTTGAAAGTGCCTTCAGATCTAGGGACACAGGTAGAGGACATTAAACAAAGTTATCTCAAAGTTCCTGAGTTTCTGGCACAAACAAAAATGTCCTTGTTTTTGCCACCTTGCAAAACCCCCATCACTTAGCCCTGTAGTGCTGACCCTGCCACATCAGCCACTTAGTGATTAGGAAGGGGAACTCAGACAGGAGACAACAAAAGGGTCATCCAGAGTTGGCAGAGACCCAGCGTGTCAGTCATTTGAACATCATGCCATCATCAGCTATTCCCGAGTCCACACAGACTGTATTTAACCAGCTCTCTCCCCAGTCACCCTCCCTCAGTGCTCACCTCCCTTAGACAAGCAGCAGAACAAGACCACTGATGCTCCTCTTAACCTCCCAGTCCTGTTAAGACTGTAGCGAGCCTTGCTCTACCTGTTCCTTCTTGGTGTTCCCAGTTTATCTGTACGATTTTCATGTGTTGCCACAGTCAGACTGTTCTTCATTCTTATTTCCATCTCGGCCACCAAACCATTGGGCATCAGCCCCAGTTCTTATCACCCAGACCACAACTCTGTATCTTTGTGCATCCATCTAACTTTTAACTGTTGCTCAGAACTTGCTTCCCTAACCCTCCTCAGCTCCTGGATTCTCACTCAGGATGGGTGAAGGACTGTCCAGAGATCTGGCAACAGGCCTTCAGTTCTCAGAGGACGAGGCGTCCACTAGCCCCACTTACCTTCCCAGAGAAGCAGAGTCCACATGGTGATCCTCTCCACTTCCCCCAGCAGCCAAACTCCGGCACATCCCAGGCCAAGCGGATGCTTGGCCTGAGCTGTGATCCTCCCGGAAAGTCCCACGTCCAGAAGGAGGAATCTTGACTCAAAACCAGATGCTCTGAAAGTGAAAATGTCCAAAGCAAAGTGGAAGTTGGCTGTAGGTCTTGCTGGGTTTTTCAGGAGTGGATTCTTGTAAATCAGCCTCTTTGCTATGCTGGGTTCGTGCAATTGCAGGCCAGCAGGTCTCCCACACAAGCCCACGTCCTCCTCACACACTCTCACGAGGCCTCTCCCATCCTGTCCTGCCCTTCTACTCTCTGTTTTCCCCTTTGGAGTCAGAAGAACCCTTGAAACAGCAATTTCAACCAAGTCATTTCTCTGCTTTCTGGTCTCCAACTACCCTCAGGATAAAGCTTAAAGGTTCTGCTGGGCTGGGCTCCAGTCATAAATGCCTGATCTCAGAACTGCCCATTGAAGACTTGCACACTTTTGGAATCGCTCCTCTACCAGCCCTGCTTTCCATTCATTCCTTTAGACTCCATGTGGCCGTGTGGCCCGTCAGGCCATCAAGTCCTCCTGTCCTTCGGGAGAGTGAGATGCCTCTCCTTCTGGCTTCAGTAGTGTGTCCACTTTTCTCTCAGTGCCTCTCTGCACTTCTCTAAAGTTTGATCACCTCTTTTGTCAGCCACAGGCTTGTATTCACATCTGTGCCCCCACTGGTACATCACAAGTGCTTAATAAGTATTAAGAGAGTGAATCAGAGGAACAAACTGGGGGTCAGGGTAGAGAAAATAGTGCAACAATGAATGAATGGAAACCCAAAATCTCTGTAAATGTTCATCAAAATTAATAAAATTTAATTAAAAAAAAGAAAAAAAAGAGAGTGAATGGATTTTCTTGTTAGTAGGCACTGCCGTGTTCATTGTGACTCATGGTGACCCCACAGGTGCAGAGTAGAACTGCCCCACAGGGATTTCCAGGCAGTGACATTTTGGAAGCAGAGCACCAGCTCTTTCTTTCCAAGCACCTTTGAGCTTGAACTCTCAACTTTTTCACCAGCATTTAACTGACAGATGTATCTTGGCTGAAAGCAAAGAATACTCGAAGAATGTCTGTTTGTGTTTTATTGACTTTGCAAAGGCATTTGCCTGTGTGCATCATAACAAACTATAGCTGACATTGAGGAGAATGGGAATTCCAGAACACATTAATTGTACTCATGCAAAACCTATAGCTAGACCAAGAGAACACTGCATGGTTTAAAACTGGGAAAACTGTATGTCAAGGCTATATCTCCATACTTAATCAACTTGTATGCTGACAAATCATTAAAAAGTTGGACTTTATGGAGAAGAGTGGGGCATCAGGATTGGAGGAAGAGTCATCAATAACCCTCATTATGTAGATGACACAACCTTGCTTGCTGCAAATAAGGAGAAATTGATGTACCTCCCATAGAGGATCAAGAACTACAGCCTTCAAATCAAGAAAACAAGAATTCTCACCACTGGACCAATAGGCAACATCATGATAGATAAAGATTGAAATTTCATCTTCTTTTCATCAACGATTTCATCTTGCTTGAATCCACAATCAACACTCTTGGTATCAGTAGTCAGGATATTGTTGTTGTTGTTAAGTGCTGTCAAATTGTAGGCGACTCATGGTGACCCTATGAACAAAAGACCTGAACACTTATGTAACTTTCATCCTTTCTCCAGGTTCATAGGGTTTCCAGAGGCAAGTTCTTACAGAAGTGGATGCCACTCCTACTTCTAAGCTTGTTTTAATCGGGGAGCTCCAGCAAACACTGTCCACCATGGGTGACCATTATTGCATGTGACACATCAGTTTAACAGTGTTCAGCTTCACAGAAACCACGAGTTACCTCTGTACAGCAAGTGGACCAAGGCTATACGACCTAGAGGAATGTTTGGCCAAAAACAATTAAAAATAGGCCTGAGGGCTGTGGATTAAAGTCACCCACCTTTGGCTTGGTAGCATCATTTTCTGTGCTAGGCCAACTGATCTCTCTCTATGCTGTTGTTGTTAAGTGCCACTGAGTCATAGGCAACTCATAGTGACCCTATGAACGAAAGACCTGAACACTTTTATAACTTTCATCCTTTCTCCAGGTTCATAGGGTTTCCAGAGGCAGGCTATTTCAGAAGTGGATGCCACTCCTGCTTCCAAGCTTAACATTGAGGAAGTTTCTTTTAAGAGATCTTTCTAAAGTCCTGCATAACAATGATATCCATTTAAAGACTAACATGTGCCTAATTCAAGCCACAGTCTTTCCCATCACCTTCTATGAGTTTGATAATTGGGTAATGAATAAGGATGAGAGAAGAATTGATGCATTTTAGTTGTGGTGCTGGAGAAAAGTGCTGAATATTCCATTGACTGCCAAAAGAAAAAGAACAGGTGTCTTGGGGAATGTACAATCAGAGTGTTTCTTGGAGGCAAGGATGGTAAAGGTTCATCTCACATACTTTGGGTATGTTGTTAGGTGAGGTAATTCCTTGGAAAAGTCATCATGTTTTTTGGAAAGGTGGAATCAGCAAAAGAAAGAAAGATTCTTAATAAGATGGATTTCTACAGTGTCTGCAGCAATTGGCTCAGATGTGTTGGGGATGATAAGGATGGTGCAGAACAGGACAGAGATCTTCTGTTCATAGGGTTTTGATGAGTCCTGTGCATCTCAATGACAATAAACAACAATGGCAACAAAAACATATTGATTTATTTTTGCTTGGTTTTAGTACTCCACCTAGTTTCTGAGAGGATACAATACAATCCCCTTTCTGATATGGAGAATTTGAGAATATGCTGAGCAAGTAGGTGACCTTGCAGGGTGGTAGAGCTCGGTCTAGGTCTTGACTTTCATTTGTACCCCAGAATTACCACAGTTGCCTCTGCACCACCAATGCAAAGGTATGAGGTTCAAATCCACCAGCTGCTCCATGAGAGAAAGGCAGGCAATCAACTCTTGTGTAATATCCTGCCTCTGGAAATCTGCTGGTGAGTCAGCTAAGGGGTGGTTCTGACTTGATGGTGGTATACACCCACAAACAACAACCTGTCATCTCAAATCACTTGAGCTTTTTCTTGACTCAGGAAAGACTGTGTGAAGGTTGTTTCTTTCCCAACAGGCTCCAGAGGACAATTGTTGGTGGTTTTGTGTAGCTTGCAGATCCTTCTTCGTCCTTGAGCTGTCAGTGAAACAAAAGGCTTTGCTGTTGCCCCTGTGAAGAGTCAGGCATATGGAGGCTTGAAGGGGAAGGTTTGGGGACAGGGTTGGGGGTGGAGTTCCGGACCTCTGCAAGACACATCTGGGAAAGAGAAGCAAATGGGCCACATAAAAAGGTCAGTGCTGCAGGAGGTGTTGGGGGAGATGGAGAATGGGGTGTGGTGACCAGGATAGGGAACGTCTCCCAAGGTGGCGGAGTTTGAGCTGGACCTAGAAAGTAGGTATGAGAGAAAAAAGGAGAAGGTCAGAGTTAGGGGTGAGCTCGACCCTAGGGGAGAGCAGTGTGTGTAAAGCATGCAAATTAGTTCCTTAGGGTTGAACAACCAAGTAGGTGACTTATATAACACCAGAAACTGGAGGTGGATTATCCACCAAGAAAGATAAGCAAGTGATTTGTTGTGCTTGTTTATTAATCTGTAGTGAACAATTTCACATTTCCTCCCCCCACTACATCAAAGATTCTGCTTCTAAAGTATGGCTGCTATCTGTCTCTCTCCCAGCCCCCAAGGTATTTTCCTATAGAATCAAAGCCTCTTCAAATTTATAACCCCTGACAGGGACAGAGTACCTAGTAAGCATGGGTTTATGATGTGGTGAAACCTGTGTGAAACTATTGACTACAGATTAGTGAGTAATACCAGGCAGCCCATGCTTCGTTTGCTTATTGGATAATTTGCCCCAACAGAAATTTATTGTCTCACATTCTGGAGGCTGAGTCTGAATGCAGGGTGTAGGCAGGACCTCGCTTTCTCACAAGGTTCTAAGGAAGAGCCTTTCTTGTTTTTCTCAATTTCTGAGAGCCTCAGATGTTCCTTGGCTTGCAGCTAAAGCAGAACTGTGTTCATAAGGCTGTTTCCTCTTCTGTCTCTGTATCTTTTGTTCTCTTTTATAGAGTACCACTCAGACTGGATCAGGACTAATTCTCCTCTTGTATGACCACATGTTCACTTATCTGATACTATCTGCAGAGATCCTGTTTTTCTCCTCTTGTATGACCACATGTTCACTTATCTGATACTATCTGCAGAGATCCTGTTTCCACACAAAGTCACAGTTCATCTGTACCAGGAGTCAGGACTTTAATGTGAATTTTAGGGGACCACAGTTCAGTCTTCACCTGTTTGATAGTGGGAAAGTCCTTCATGGTCTAAGCATGGAAAGGGAGGTGGGGGTCAGATTATGGAGGCCTTGAATGCTGAGTTGTGTATTAAGATTTTATTCTGGCTCTCAGATTAGTTAAATACTTGTACTCCCAAGCTTTACCTCCTAGGGATTTTGTTTGGATAGGCCTAGGATAAGGAGTTTTAGTAGTGCCATGATTAACATGGCTTGAACACATCAGTGGCTCTGTGAAAGAAAAGATTTGATAATTTGTTCCCTTATGTTAGGGAGCTCTTGTGGTTTAGTGGTAAGAAGCTGCACTGCAAACCCAAAGCCATGTGGTCTGAATCTACCAGCTGCTCTCCTATGTCATTTACTGCCTCTGAAAACCGGAGACAGGGTCAGGTACAGGTCAGTTCTGACTTGATGGCACACAGTAACAACAACAATCTGTTCCCTTAAAATGTATAGCTTTGGGATCTCATGTGGTACTATAGGATTGCCACAAGTGGAAATTGACTTGATAGCATACAACACTAACACCAGGTCTGAAATAGGACTCAAGAATCTGTAGTTTTATTATATACTCCTCTGTTATAGTATAGGGTTTTCAAAGGCCTGTTATTTCAGAAAT